TGGCCCGGGAGCGCCTGGGCCTGTCCTCAGTCCTGGCTTTCCAGGCCACGCTGAGCCAGGTGTCCGCACGCTCAGCAAGGAGCGCTGAGGGGCGGTCCTGGACGGGTGCTGGGCCTCTCACCCAGAAGACTGTGCCCAGCCCTTGCAGTTATTGTTAAGGATTAAAGTACTGTTCACTAAGTAACTGAGGATTTTTTTAAAGGACCAGAAGAAAAGACTAGAAGATCAGTTTATCATGGAAAAACAGACTCCCTCGACATCAGTCCTAAAGTAATTAAAAAAAAAATAGAGTACATATGTACAAGTAAAAATGTTTGCAGAAAAATGGAATCAAAGTATATGTTTTGGTGAAAAAAATTGACATGCACGCTCAATTTATCACAATACTTTCTGTCAGCCTTTTGAAGGCTCCCCCTTACATAAGCGCAAAGTTTCAATCATATAATGTTAGTGCTGGGGGAATATTTACAACCCATCACCTTCCTGTGAGGAAACAGGCTAGCAAAGACAGTGACACAGAAGCAGGCAGGCTGGAATCCAGGCCTGTGAAGGCAGGTCCAATTGAGTAAAAAGTTTGGGGGCCAGTAGGTAGCTTCCTGAAGGTGCTGGACCCCTCCTCCCCACATGGCTGACCAGGGTTTGGAGTCCCAGACCTGGAGGCTTGCTATCTTGCTTTCTCTCTTTCTCTGGTCAAATTAAAATATACTAATAATTAAATTAATAATTCTTTAAAAAAAGAAATTTGAAATGATATCACAGACAAAAAATTGGTTTCACTAAAGATAGGAACCTCCAGGCCTAATTTTTAAATTAGTATCCTATAGTTCCCCAAAAGAGGTGTAAACCTCCATTTAATGACAGTGTAAAAATAGTAATTAAGTGATTAACAGACACAAGAATACATAGGAAAAAGTGGAGTAAGTTATGGAATGGTGTTCCATAGCAGAGTCAAAACTGTCATTGACAATTCAATATATATTCCCCTCCCTTAAAACTAATAGAACTATTATTGATACAACATGATGTAACATTCAATGCTGAATAACGTGAATATGCCTTTACCCTTAATTATTGCACACTGTATGCATTCTTTAAAAACCTACTGTACCCCACAAAGATGTACAGTGGTTATATATAAAGCAGGTATCACAATTTTTTTGAGAGAGAGAATTTTGCTATAGGGTGTGTGTGCTCACCAGAAAGACAGAGAGACAGAAAGCGAGAAATCACCCCCCAGAGGGGATGGTCACGCCGCGATCCCTTCTCCTCCATTTTCCTCTTGGGATCTTGGGCACGCACGCCCACGCGCCCAGTGTGAGTTTAAGCCACTGGCGCCGGGACTCGAACCACGGGCGACTACATGGGAGTCCAGTGACATAGCCATTATGCTAACTGCTGGTCCTAGGTATTACAATTTTGAAAATGCCAAAGAATGAAAAAGAAACATCTAAGATATGGACTGTAATTCTTTTTTTTTTTTGGAGGGTTTTTGTGTGTGTGTGTGTGTGTGTGTGTGGTTTTTTTTTTTTTTTTTTTTATTGCTTTAGGGGTGGTTTTTTTTTTTTTTTGCTATAGGGCACGTGCGCTTGCCAGAAAGACAGAGAGAGACATAGAGACAGGAAGCGAGGAATCAACCCCCAGGGGGGATGGCCACACCGCAATCCCTTCTCCTCCATTCTCCTCTCGGGATCTTGGGCACGCACGCACACGCGCCCGGCGTGAGTTTTAAGTCACCAGGTCCGGGACACGAACTGTGGTCAACTACGTGGGAGTCCAGCGACATAGCCATTACGCTAACTGCTGGTCCCCATATGCACTGTAATTCTAAGAGCAGGTGGTGATCAAAAATAGCAGGTGGTGCGGATAGGACACACTTTGTAGAGAGGTGCAAAAGACCTAAGTGGATACAAATCGGTGGGAAAATCTAGGAGTGGCTTCTGCCCTTCTAAGCGGAAGAGAAAGGCCTGGGGGAAGTCCAAGTTACTGCTCCTGTCATCTTTCCCCCCTGCTGCAGCTTGTTTCTGTAGGTCAGGGCTTCCCAACCTTTGAGCTATAGGGCCACCAGCAGATTTTGAAATCTTTGGTGCATTTCCTAGCAGATGGCCTCTCCTGCTCCCTCTCTCCCAGGTTTGCTGGCATTCCCCATGGAGAGGGGAGCTCAGCTGGCCAGTAGAGGTGCATGCTTTGCTTCTGGAGTTTGCAACAGACCACCCCTGCTCCTCCCCACCCTGAGCAACTTCATTGCCCACCAGGCTCTCAGTGGGTGGAAATAACGCTTCTCAGAAGTGAAAACTAACTACTACTCAAACCAAAAACCTGGGAGCCTTGCCAAAGTTCTTTTTCTCCCACGTGGGCTATGCTTCACAACCCCTCCGAGATCAGCCTGAGCTAAATCTGCATGAATCTACTACTCTCATTTCTCTCTCACTCTCTCTCTCTTTTTTTTTTTTTTTTCCCGCTTTAGGGTGCATGTGCTTGCCAGAGAGACACAGAGAATGAAGAAAGAAAGAAAGAAATCTCCCCCAGGAGGTATGTCCATGCTGCAAATACTTCTCTTCCATTCTCCTCTTGGAATTTTTTGTGCACATGCACACACACACACACACACACACACACACACACACACACACACGGTGTGATTTTCAAGCTACCAAGTCAAGGACCCAAACCATGGTTGACCATCTGGGAGTTCAGTGCTTTAAGCACCATGCTGCCTGCTGGTCCCTTGAAAAGATTTTTGAGACAGCAAGTAAAAGATCTAGTTGGGGGACCAGCAGATGGTGTAATGGCTATGTTGCTGGACTCCCATGTAGTCAACCATGGTTCAAGTCCCGGACCAGGTGGCTTAAACTCACACCATGAGTGCGAGTGTGAAGGCCCAAGATCCTGAGAAGAAAATGGAGGAGAAGGGATTGCGGTGTGGCCATTCTCCCCGGGGGGTGGTTTTTCCTTTCTGTCTCTCTGTCTCTCTCTGTCTTTCTGTCAAGCTCACGCGCCCTATAGCAAAAATCTCTCCGAAAAGGAAAAGACCTAGTTGGTGGACATTTGGTTGCTCTCGCTCTCCAGCCCACTCTACTCTCTGATGAAGTGCCACCCTTCTATCCCTGGGTCTCAAGCATTGATACCTAAAATTGCTCTTCAGAGAGAAACGAAGCCTAGGGTAGGGTATCTAGAAAAAGACAAAATCATTTAGGCAGATTTCCTCCTCTGGGGCCATTAGAGACATTAGCAGACCTTCCCCTGGAGGCTCAGGGGAGACTTAGTAGGAGAGTGCCCGTAAGGCTCTTCTGGCCAGATGCTGCTCTCTTTGGCTTGGTGAACCACGTCTTTCTGCTGAGACTACCATTCCTTCTCCTGTTCAGATAGTACTGAAATGTGTCTGTGCAAGGCGTGCTTTGTATGTTGCCTCTTCTAGAAAGAGTTAGTGGAGGGAAACACCCCTTTTCGTTCAAGCCATCCAATTTCTCTTTAACTTGATGAACAGAATTGTATCCTTCCCCTTTTTTGAAACCTAGAAACTATGACCTTTAGTTAAAGATCATTTCTTCTGTTACATTGTAAATAAGAAACAGATAGCAACTGTCTGGTTCACTTTCCAGAAAAATGTGCAAGAAGGAAGAAGAAAGGCTGGGAGGAAGGGAAGTGGACAGGAAGATGAAGGTGCATACTTCGAGTTAGGAGTCAGGAAACAGCTTGTGTGTCCAAGTGCTTAAACCGTGTCCCTCTGTTACGGCTTCGGCAGGCTGCTCAGAGCACCATCAGCTGCAGCTCATTCGCGCTTGCTTTCGTAATGACCACACTCTCCTCCTTTGAAAGCACCAAGATGATCTCTGCCTTCTCCTCATGACTGACCATTGGCTCCTTCTTCTGTTTCTCAGGGAACAGAGAAAAGGAAAGAGAAAACTGCAAAGAGAAACATTGGTAACTCCGTTAGCCACCCCGGTGGACAGTGTGGAGTGTGGCAGCCAACCGTTGTAGTAACGGAGCACCTCAGCTCCTAGAATCGCTCGTTAGCCAGGATCCCAGGGCAAGCCCTCACTACTGGGCAGAGAAGCCGCAGCCCTTCTGGGCACAAGATTTGTCTCCTTAAAGTATCAGGCAATAAAACTCAGCAACCTTCTACCACAGTTACTTTTTCCGTTTTCATCACAAAAACGATTCTCCCTTAAACACGACCACATTTTTCCTGCTTTGAGATTTTCTCCTGGCTGGTCCACCCACAGAAGTGGAGAGCATACACGTCTACTATTATGAGCTCAAAAAAAAAGCAAAAACATCTCAAGGCAATGGAGGATCACTGTCAAGCACCTCAAAACCACTTGACCAGTCTTAAAAACATGAATTAAAAAGAAGCAAACCTCAGCTCTCCATATCTCTATTCTTTAAGTTGCCCAGTGTAGCACCCTTTGTAATTATTGCTTGTTACTTTTCTCTGGTCCCTTTCCATTGTCTATAGTTACTTTGAAAGCAGATGAAATATTTCAGTAAGGACCCTGGCTCACGCAGAAAAAAATCCACAAAGGTAATTCCTGGCCATGTATGTCAGATTTCCAGCAGAACCTCAACAT